GCCGCCCGCCCCTGGCCTTTCCCCTCCCAGGGCCGGGCCGCAGCGGGGGCCTACTGGTTGCCGGGCGGCGCCCGCCCGCGCCGCCCGCGGCGGTCGTCGCGGTCGGTCGTCGACGTCGTCGGGGTGGTGGCGTGGGAGGGGGGGAGAGGAGAGAGAGGGAGGGAGAGGAGGGGAAGGAGGAGGAGGGAAAGGGGGGGGGGGAGGTTGGAGGGGGAGGGGGGTGAGGGGAGGGGAGAAGGGTGAAGAGAGGGGGCGAGGAGGGGGGGGGGGAAGGGGGAGGGGGGGGGGGGGGGAGAGGAGATTGTCTTTTCCTGGGTGCCATGGCCACGACATGCGCACGACATGCGCGTTGAGGGCGCTCTCGGGGCCCTCTGGGGGCACTCGGGGACGTCCTGGGGAGGGCCCGCAGTGTCCGAGGCAGGCCCAGGGGGGCTCCAGAAGAGCTCCAAGAAGGACGGAAGAGCGCATGTCGTGCGCATGTCGTCCATGTCTTGGGACCCGTGGCCACGACGTGCGCGCGATATGCGCTTTGACAGCCCTCTGAGGGCCCTCCGGAAGCAGTTCTGGGCCTCCCAGGGCGGTCTCGCAAGGCCCCGAGAGGTCCCGGGCGAATCGGGGCGACGACGACGATGATGAAGACGGCGGCGGCGGCGTCGGTGACAGCAAAGACGATTGCCATGACAGTGGCGAGGGAGGATGGCGACGACTGCGACGACGACGACCGCGACTGCGACGACGACGACGACAGACGACTGCGGACAACGCCGACCAGCGATGACGGACGACGACGGACGACACAGGGCGACAATGATGGTGATGAGTTGGGTGTGGGACGCCGTAGATATCGTTGTGAGTCCGGCGCTATTTTGGCTCGCGCGCGCGGAGAGTCCTACGGGCCGCGTCGTGTATCTTAACGGGCCGGTCGCAGCGGCGCCGAGCGCGGTGATCGCGACGCCGCAAACCAGTTTACTACGATGAAGCGGCGCCGGGGCTTCCATGATCAGAGCTTCTCTGTTGGGGGCGATTGGCCTCGAACGCGTGCGTGAAGGTGAGCGCCTCGCTGGGGATCTTCGTTCCCAGTTTCCTTCGCTGCAAGACTGCGCAGTGGGGGCCGCCGCAGGCGACGGATTGTGTTTCGTTCGCGCGGCTTTGCAGACACTGGGGCTGGATGCCCCGGATTTGGCGCGGGGCGTCGCGGCTGTAGTTCTGCATTTTATGGCGCGCGCCAGAGACGGACGGACATCGCACCTGCAAGATGGATTGGCTAATGAGAGAATGGAAGCCTTGCGGGAGTTTGGGTTAGTGCGTGTGCTTGCTCGTCGGAACTTGGCGCCCGCAGAAGAAGCTTCATATGCGTACATTCTAGATAGGTGCTGCGGCATCGTGACTCGTGATTTTGGGTATGTGCGTCGGTATTTTGATCATTTGTTCATTCAATCTTTTTTGGATTGGTGCGGTGGCCATGCCATGTTATTGAACGCGAACCGCGCAGTGACGAATATGGAAGGGGGGGCAGAGAATTCTGAACCGTGTTACGTATTCAGACTGGTGCATTACGCAGACATTCCAGAGCATTTCAATGCCGTCGTAGAGCGAGCGTGGCAGACGCAGGCATCAATTGGAGTTATGCGAGAGCGAGTGTTGCGGTTGATATCAGACGGCCGGGGTTGCGCCTACTGGGGTCCTCGACGCGTGGATCCTGCGTTGGTCGCCGAACAGATTTTGCCACAGGGTCGCAGCGATGATGATGGATGTTCCTCAGTAAACGATTCTTCTTCCGACGAAGGAGGGGCGTCGGCAGAGAACTTGAATGGAGCTGGCGTGGATGACGCGTTGGAGCAGCTGTTGCAATCTGAATGCCGTCGCAAATCCGCGGGAACACACGACGCGGGTAAAGTCCCGGGTCTCGTGCAAGGGGGCCCCAATCCGAGTTGGCGCCATGGTCAGACAGGTTGTGGGTCATTTGTCGCTTGTGCGTTACCAGCAGGGTCTTCTCCGCGCCCTCGAGCCCAGCAAGAAGCGCGCTTTGAAATCATATCGACGGAGTGGCATCCATTGGTAGTCGTGCCCGAGAACATCGGAGAGAACCTCGTCGCACTGGACATGTTAGATACAGGCGTGAGCCATCCGGAAAAAGAAAACATTGTTTCTGGAAAGGGTGCGATTGGGCTGGCGCCTGCAACCGAGAGCGATGGGGGCACGTGAGAGTAGAACATTGGAGCCCAGTGTTGGCCGAAGCTGTGGCGTTCTACCATAGCGAACTTCATCTATTTCACCGGTTTGACACGGTCTTGAATCGGGTTGCGAGCGTGTTAGCTCGTCGACGGGCACCTTTGGCATGCTCGGCTCTGGGCCGTCGGTCTTTGAGCAATCTGTAGAACTCACTGGGGCCGGATGACAGCGTCCAGAGCGTGATCTGTTCTAGCTGCGCGTGCTCGCACCCTCTAGTGTCGTCATTGCCTCGATGTCCAATTAAGTGCGTTCCAGCTTTTGTCGCAAGAACCAAATTCCTCGGCTTGACAAAAGCGCGAGCGGAAGAGTTTTTTGGTAGAGCGACATATTTGAGAAAGTATGGGAGCCGCGGTTCAAGTGGTGGTTCAACAGATTTGACAGCAAGTCCTTGGCAAGAAGAACTAGAAGACTGGGAGGTAGGCGCGTGGATAGGAGGCCAGTACAAGTGTTTCATAGGGTGTAGAGAGGACGTGGCGTGCGACAGCCACAGAGCGAGGAATCCAACGGATATCTGCTCGAATTGCAAAATCCCGTTGTGCTGTATGTGCAACAAGCTTTGGAGAAGGAGACTCCGGGGCAGCCGTGCATTGCCTTGTCCAATAATATGTGGACTGGGTTCAGCAGGGAAATCGTTTATACGCGGAACGCTACCTACCTGGAGCTCTTGTTCGCATCGCCGTGTTGTTTAGGTTTGATCTGCTTCATTCTCCAAGATGTGCAGTTCCATGCGCGCTCGGAAGAGGGCCTGCGTCCAACGAACAAGCCGATGCTCATGCAGCCCGCGTTCCAACAGACACAACGAACTGCTGCAAGAGGAGACATGACCATGTGGCCAATGCCGTTGGCGGAAATATTGGAGCAACTGAAGAAGCTCGAAACTGAAGGTGTTGATCTACCGCGGTCGGTTGAAGACGTGAGAAACGTATTTCGCGTCCTTTAAAAATCGGCCGGGGCATTGCCAGCATCGTTAATTGCTAATGCCACTGTTCGTCGAGACGTCGTGGTCGAGCTGATCAAGGGCGGGATGCGCCGTGGTCATCCTTCTTTCGCGAAGTTCAACATGGCGGACATCGAAGCAAAAGCAGCAGCGCGATTGCCCGAAGATGGTGTCCTGCCAGAACTGGTTTCGCGGCTCGGGCACGATGACGGGCTGGGAAAAGTCCTCGTGCAGAAGGCGTCGAGCCCGAATTTCGAAGTGGACGCGGTTGAAGATGTTTTGCACGACGCGCGTCCCAATGCAATTCTCCAAGAGAAAAGTGCCAATGCAGAACGGGATCTGTCTTTGGTCGAAAGCGGAGCTTGGGAAGCTTTAGCAGCCCGAATGCAAGGGGATGGACAGCTTGTGGCAACGACAGGGTCCCACATGGAGGGCGCGTTCATGTTTGACTTTTTATCGCGCGCGTACCCCTTCGTTCATACATCGATGTTGCGTTACCCAGACTATGGGCGCGTGCGAACTCTGCGAGCTCTTGCGCAAGGCCCACTCGTTTGTTTAGCCGCGTTTGCGCGATGCATGAACCGACGCATCGAAGAACAATATCGTGCGAGTTGGTCTTGCAACTGCACTCTCTGGAACATGACGTTTCGGGGCCAGCTGAACCGCAGTCGCATGATGTACTCGTTGGCGCTATCTCGAAGAAGCAACGAGGACGCGATCACTCCAACTGCCATCGAGAGGGCAGGCGAAGAAATCGTGAAGGCATTGAAAGGGTCACATGTAAGTCCGGAGGGTCGTTTGTTACCAGTGCACGGAGATATATCTAAAGCGATTTACGCACCAAATTTGAGCGTGGTTGCGAGGAGGTTATTGTGCAACGTTTCAGCAGTGTCGAAGGACATTGGAGGGGCGCAAGAAATCCGACGACGCGCAAGGCTTTTGACAAA